AGAAACAGAGAATTTTATTTCACAAAATAATCACATTATCTGTTTAGCCATCAAAAGTTACCCCAGCAAAATAAGTTTCATGAAAAAATCTTGTCCCATAATTGAAAAAATGGCGATCGAAGTTTGCACTTTGACCTCGATTTTCTCGAAAACTGTCGATCGGAGAAATTTTTCAATGCCACTAATGGACTCAATTTTTATGGGCCTACAAACCTACAAAGTTCCAACTCTTAACTGGAAAGTCAGAATTTTTACCCATACTCCTTTATTCAGTTCAGTAGCAAAGGTGTTGTTCAAAGGCGATAACATTTATCACCTGAGTAGAGCAAAATAATTATCCCAATCATGTGAATATTCAGTTTGCCTTTTCGAGTGTTTCTCTGGTTTACTCTGTTTAACCAAGTTATTAATAGCCAAAAGTATTATCATTGAAAGATTTGATGAAACGATTAATCAGTTTAAATGGAAACCAAAATGGTAACCAGGATAAACCTGTAATCTCATTGAGAACAAGCTAATCATGTTCACCGAATGGAAGCAGTTTCAAGTTTTTCATTTTCCCAATCTTCCTTTCCCTTTCCACACTTAATTAAACTTGATAATCGCAATGAAGGGTCAAGATTCGGGTCAACATTTTGAATAAAATTTCCATTTTTTCGATTTCTTCTTTTGTATTTTTCCAACTTTTTTGCGTGTTTTTTGAGGTTTTCAGAGAATGAATTGTTCAACTTGAATTTGAATGAAAATGTGTCTGTAAGTTATTATGGATTTGAAAGTTGGATCAAAGCAGATGAAACAAATTGATTAGATTATCATGAGAATTTTATTATTATTTCAATTTCTCATTCTATTTGCTGTGTTTCTGCTTGGAAATGCTTAGCGAAGAGAAATGTTTGACATTTCCAGTTAAATGGTTCAATTGTGAAAGTTGAAGTTTGTGGCTTTGTTTGAGTTGAATTTATTGAGAGAATCGAAATGTTGCAGAAAAAACTTTTTGTTTTCTAGCCTTTCTCAATTTTGAAAA